GCTAGAGGTCTCTTGGAGACTTCCTGAATAAAGGTCAAAGGCTTGGCTTTAACTTTGTGACCTTTAAAAGGAAAATGTCTCTTGCCTATTGTTAATTAGAGTATTTGATGACACCAAGATGAGCAGTGCGTCGGACATGTGGAGAGAAGGACTTGGGGGTGCTGGTGGGTGAGAGGCTGGACATGACCCATCCATGAGCACTCCCAGCCCAGAGAGCCAAACGTGTCCTGGGCTGCATCCAGAGCAGCGTGGGCAGCAGGACCAGGGAGGGGATTCTGCCCCTCTGCTCTGCTCTGGTTAGTGGTCCTGCTCCAGCTTTGTAATGTTCAGGACAGGAAAAAGTGTTGAAGTGTGTCCAAAGGAGATACACAAAAATTATAAAAGGAATAGAATACCTGTCCTAGGGCTAAGAGTGTTGTTTAACCTGAAGTAAAGACATGTTCTGTTACTATATAAAGGCAGTTTAAAGAAGGAGCAGACTTTTTGCTAGGACCTGTATCAACAGAAAAAAAGGTAACAATTTTAAACTAAACTGGTGTAGATTCAGACTAGATACAAAGAAGAATTTTTTTTTCTTTTTATGAATGTGATGAAACATTTGGACAGGTTACACAGTTTTTTTCTTTTTATGAATGTGATGAAACATTTGGACAGGTTACACAGAGGTGGTGAATGGGCTCAGAGCAGCCTGATCTAATTGAAGATGTCATTTCTCATTGCAGGGGAGTTGGACTAGAAGATCCTTAAAGGTTTCTTCCAACACAAATCATTTTATAATTCTCTGATTCTACAATTCAATAACTTGATCCTATGATTCTTGATTTTTGATTCTATGAGTCTTGGGATTCTCCAAGGTTCAGTACTGGGGCCAGTCCTATTCAATAACTTTATTAATGGCCTGGTCAAGGGGATCTAGTGCACTCTAGTACATTTGCAGATGACACTAAGTTGTTGTGGTGGGAGACTAAACTGCAAAGGAATCTGAACAGGATGTATGAATGGCCCAAGGCCAATGGGATGATGTTCAACAAGGTGAAGCACTGGATCCTACACTTTGGGCACAACAACCCCATGCAATGTTACAGACTTGAGGCAGAATGTCTGGAAAGTGGTCGAGCTGAAAAGGGTCTGGAGGTGCTGTTTGTTGGTGGCTAAACATGAGCCAGGGTGTGGCTGGCAATGCCATCCTAGCCTGTATCAAAAATAGTGTGGCCACCAGGACCAGGGCAAGGATTGTTCTCCTGTATTCAGCACTGGTGAGGCCCCATATCAAACAGTGGCCACTCAGTTCTGGGCCCCTCATTCCAAGAAGGTCATTGAGGTGCTGAGATGGCTGCAGAGAAGGGCAACAGACCTGCTGAAGGGTCTGGAGCAAAAGTCCTGTGAGGAGCAGCTGAGGAAGCTGTGGGTGTTTAGCCTGGAGAAAAGGAGGCTCAGGGGAGACCTGAAAAGAGTGATAAGGTCCCCCCTGAAAGGAGGGACTAAAACTGCCTGAAAGGAGTGTGTAGCCAAGTGGATGTTGGCCCACAGAGAACTAGGGGAAGTTCAGACTGGATGCCAGAATTTTTTTTTCCCTGAACATGTTTTCAGGCATTGGAACAGCCTGCCCAGGGAGGTGGTGAAAGGCACTGTGTCTGGAAGTGTTCGAGGAATGACCAGATGTGGCACTTTAGTGCTTTAGATAAGCTAGTATGGTTGTGTTAGGTCAAAAGTTAGACTTGATGACTGTGGAGGTCTTTTCCAATACTAAAGATTCTATGATTCTTTGGTTATGCAGTTCTCTGGTTCCATCATAGTAAAACAGAACAAACTTCTCTGTGAAGCTTACGCAGGGTTGCAATCTAGGGTTTTCCTGCCGCAATTAGAGAACCCATATTTTTGGGCTGAATAAAATTATTGTGGCTAAATATTAGTTTTGTGTAAGTACAAGTAAGTTAATGAGAATCCAGGCCTTCAAAAATTCATAATTGTTGTATGCACAGGAATTCTGATTCAGTAATATTTTTTTTGCTAGTACTTTTCTCAAAATTCCAAGGAAGGCACAACTCATGGTTTTTTTCCTTCAATTTTCTAAAAAGAATAAAGTAAATTAAGCTAATAACAAACTCTCTTAAGGTTGGACTAGTGTTCACTGCCTTCTCTGATGCTCTTTTTGTCAGGTAGCCAAACAACCTTTGCATTATCATTAGTAGTTGTTGGAAAAAAAATAGATTAACAAGTTTTCTTGTCTATATTTTTCAAACAAAAGGCCTTGTGTATATAATGAACCAAATCTCTAAACTGACTTTACATGAGCTACATGTGTTGAAAGGCATTCATGTAAGTACAAGATACATATAATTTCAAAATTCACTGTCATGCTTCCTCAGTAAATTTTTTACTCCATATTACTGCAGTTTTCTTGCAGTGTAATATTTCAACATGATGGATCTATTTCACTTTAAAATATTTTAAATTATTTTTGTCTTTTTCTTCACTATTAAGAAAAATAAGCTATTTCATTAAAAAAGTAAAGATAAATCAATCAAATTCCTCTGTAGGGGTTGGAAACTAATTTTGATAAATCCTGGAACATTTTTTACACAATAATAGAAAGGCAATTATACTTTTCTGTAATGTGTTCAGTTACAAGGGTAATTGATACCTATTGTGGCTCATAGTTTATATAACTGTGTCACTTTCATTTACCTTTTTGCTTCCAAACTTTATTTGTATTTGAAGAAGATAGTTCTGTAGATTGTGAAAAATTAGTGAAGCAATCATGAAGGGATGAAATATTTTTGACTGTTATGGAGCAATAATCTAGTACTTCAAGGTCAGACATCACAAGAGTCAGTGGCACTGTATTATTATCTTTATTATTGATCTACTAATACAAAAGAAACCCTGACCTCAGATCTCTCTCTGAAACCCAATAATGTTTTTTTTCCAAAGATGCACTGAAGTTTGAGCATCTTGCTCTGATATGAGATTAATGATACCTGAATGGCTTAGGTATACTGAAAACTTGCTAAAAGAAACAGGATTTGAGATGCCAGTGATGTCAATGTAGCAGGTGCTGCTCCAGGTTATTAGGGAAAAATCACCTCTGATGATGAAAGGGGTAATGGGTTATCCCTATTTAAAATTTATTCAGGGTATGATTTTAATAGTGATTCCTAAAGTTACTACTGAATACTTCCTCTAAGTCTTTATTTGCAGATGACAGGCGTTCTTCACAAATTACTCCTATTTTTCACTCTATTTCTTCATGAAAAAAAAAAAAAATACTGTTTATTCTTGTTAATATTGTAATATTTTAAAGTAGTGCTAAAGAAGCACATTTGTAAATGAGCGTACTCTGTAGAATGAGTACACTATGGGGAAAAGGTCTAAAAAAAAAAAATCTCTGTCTCAAGAACAATAATATTTACCTAGAAATACACCAGATACTGTATATCAAATATCTTCAGCCTCCTCTGCTCCAAAAATCCCTCAAAACCCCATGGAATCCTCCTTTAATCTGATTTTAAAAATACAAAATTTTCAACAGCTTTGAAAGAAATAAGATTAATTGAAATTATCAAATAAAATACTGTTGTATCTTTTCTTTGCAGAGAGAGGCAATTTTTAATCCTGTGAGAAAGGCCCCTAGGTTCAATGTGGCACTGTTTCTGCTGCACCTAGTGGTGTGTGGAGACAACACGGATTCAGTGGCCTTCACTGCTGCAAATACCACACCATCTTATGCAAGCAAAGAACTCACTGTCTCTTGATGTCAAAAGCTGCCAGGCTCCAGATGTTGGCTGGAGTCTGGGGAGCCATTTACAGGTTATGAGGGTTGTCCCACACCAGTCCTGGTCCTGTGATTTCTAGAGAAGCTAAGGATTAGCACTGATACAGATTCACAGCCTTATCTACATGAGGCCTTTAATCTTTCTGTGTTTAAAATGCGTGCATTTAAAAACTGAACAGTAAGTAGTGCCTTCTCATTTATCTATCATGTCCAATATTCCTTTGTATTTTGACATGGTTGTGTGGTGCTTTGTACAACAGGATTCCTAATTGGTTTCAGTGGGGATATAGAGACACAGGGCAGTGAAGAGGCACTGAAATGCACAAGCTTTCAAGGAAAATCTGCCTACTCATAGCCACAGATACATGGTCTTATCTATGGAAGCAAACCAGAACACTGCTTTCTGGGTGTACTAACAAATTAACAAGACCTATATAAAGTCAGAACCTATCAACATGAGCCACATTTTTAGTTTGAGTAAAGGCAGAACTAGGTACTCCAGTATTTGGTGGTCAAGGACTTCACAAAATTCTCTACTATGTGAAGCAGGCATACCGAAAACTTTTCCGTAATGGTAAAATAAAATAAATAAAATAAAAAATAAACATTTCCACAATGGTGCTAAAAGCACTAGATACTCATGTAATCTTCAAAACATGCTTTTTACCGACAACCCCACGATAATATGGAACCCTTGAAATGTCAAAATGAGTAGTTGTTCTTTTATTTTAAAGGTTAGTCTGTACACTTCTTCCTACCTAAAAGTTTTCTTGTGAGAAAACATTCTTCTCAGAAGTTAAAGCCACTTGAAATACAATATTTATTTCAGTGTTCTTCTTGCTGTGCAATAAGAACACTGAAATAAATATAATGAATATAAATATGATGAAATAAATATTGTGTAAGAAGATCTTCTATTACCAGAGAACTTGTTAGTCATGGTACGCGAGAATTCATGGAAGCTTAGATTATGTTGGTTTTTTTTGGTTGGGTTTATTTTAACAGGAGACTTACTCCCTTTAAGCCTCAAATGAATTTTCATATGGTTTGATCCCTTCTCTCACTTTTAAGTAAAAGGTCATATAATGTCCTAATTATTTACTCAATTTTAAAATAAGAAATGAAACAAAAAAAAAAATGTATTTGGAACAGAAGAAAAATTTAATTACTAGAGGGGTTTTTTTCTTTTAAACATTTTAATTATTTGATTGATTTTTTTTTTCCCTTTTTTTGTACACGCAGAAGTTCTCTTCCCTACATTTTTTTCTTTTTTTCCACAATTGAGTCTTGATAATGTGGCTAAGCTGTAGAGAAACAGAGACACTGTTACAACCCAAAATGTTACATTATAATGTTATAAATATAATAGAAGACTTTCAGTAGTTTCCTAAAACAGTCTTGTTTTCTTTTTACTGTCTGTGAAAGTATATAAAACGATGGGGAAACATGAACAGTGAATTTGAGTAGAATTACTTTTATTGCATCCTTGCAACTTTTACACATGAAATTCTCTATGTATTTACCAGCCTGATTACAAGAATGTGTTCTGCTATTTATATTGTATTACATAAGACAAACTTTGCATCTTCTAAAGATCTGTAGCAAAAATAATTTTCTTTTTACTTTTAGAAGGTACAGCACATGGTGAATAAAATAAATTTATATTACTAATAGAATTGTCTTGTCTATTTAAAAATATATTTTTCCAACAAAAATTGGTGACTGGCTTAATTGCAATGTTCATATCCATTTTTACTCTGATTCGGCTATGTAAATGAAACTAGCATGAAAAATGATGGATTACTTTGAATGTCACAAGCCTCAAGGATTAAGTCAAATATTTCCATTAGTTTTCCAAATAGAGCACCCTTCAAAATTTAAAAACTTTTCTCAAAACATAATTACAGTTTTCCAGACACCAAAAATTTTTAATTTCTCTGCAGATGGCAATAGCTGAAGTAAACTGAGATAATTCCTTCCATTTCATTTCTTAGGAGACCACTTCCAATTCATGTCATGAACATCCTGTGTTATGTTGAAAGTGTACTTCCTAAGTAGCAAACCTGTTCAAGATCTTTCTTAGGAACGGATGTTTATGAAGTTTCACTATAGCCTTCCACTATGAAAGAATCTTAGTCTTACTCCCACTGTCTTTTCTCATCCCACGGTGTTCTGAAGAGCTGTCAGGATCATTAAGTACACACAAATGATGCTGGATGTTTGGAGATCACAATAAATAATATTGACTTTTTTTTTCCCTCCAGCTACAACACAGTGGACAGGGGTGTGACATTTCTTAGCTGATGGGAAAAAAAAAAGTTTTCTACCATCAAATTTCATTGGCAAGTCTGAGTAGAACAATTTTATTAAATTTTGTGCCAAAAAAATTTGTTATGTAAGATCAGTATTTCTGTTTCCAAATAGTGCAAATCAGTTTTAGAAAGCTTAAAATCCTTCAATATATTTTGGTTTTTTTTTTTTTAATTAAGCCCTTTGACTAAAGTAAAAGTTCACAAACTGGCAATAAATAAGAATTCCATCATACTCAGAATCTGTTAAATTATTCATGTAAGTTAAGAGTAAAAAGTATACCTTATTTTTAAAGATCCTAGTGGATTATCAGCAGTAAGGCTTGTGAGGCTGTACAGATTCTCAGTGAATGATAAGTACCACAAACTTCAAGTTGTTAGTAATTTAATCTGACCTCTTTCCCTCAAAAACATAATGTTATAAGTGAAAATAAAGTAGTGATGAGTAAGTAGTTCCAAGCAATTAGATTCATGCTTTTAGGTTGTTTAGTAATAAAAAATGTCAAAAGCAGATCAAAATGTACTAAATCCAGTTTCCAATAAATGGTTTAAATTTTATAAGGAATCCTCCCAATTTGTAACATTACAGGTAAAATGTTCACATTAATTGGGTCAACAACAAAAAATACTATTGTTAGAAATGTTTGGAAATCAAAGGATTGTATCATGGAACCACAGAATGTGCTGTGCTGGAAGGGCCCCATCAGGATCATTGACTCCCCAAGTCACACCATCTGTCTGGAGGACTGCTCAAACACTTCCTGAACTCTGTCAGGCTAATGCTGTGACCACTTCCCTGGAGAGCTGTTCTAGTGCCCATCCACTATCTGGGTGAAGAACCTTTGCCTGGTATCTAATGTAGTTGCCCTGTCCCAGTTTCATGCTGCTTCCTTAAGTCATGAGAGTGACAAGTTTGGTACTTGCCCATCTGCTTCCCCTCATGAGGATGTTGATATTTATCTCTGTTGGATGAAAAAGCAGCAGAAAAATCTAACCAAGATTCTGGGTATATTCTTCTGCCTTGTGATTAATCTTTAATGTCAATCGGTATTTGTTTTTTCTGTTATTTTATCCTGATAAACTTTTTCTCATAATATGTGTAAAGGTTCATGAAGAATCTGGGCTTCTTGATAAGGTAAGATTTAATTACTTTCATATCACTGGAAGAATTTCTTTACGTAGTAATGGAGAGGTGCAAAAAATTTACAGAAATATCTGTATCCTCTTGCTCTCCTTTGCATCAACTTCTGCAGAAGTCCTATAAATTGACATAATTTAAAATGCAGCTGAGAAGAATGTATTTTCTAACAAGTGAATTCCATAGAGTTATGTAAATACTGTGGCATTTCATAAGATCTATTTGCATAGGTCAGCAGCCATTTCAGGTCATATACAGATAAGATAGGAGACTAGCTGAAGTAGTTTTGTTCTTGTTTCATTTAAAAGGCATTACACATATATGTATGCATACAGTGTTGCAAAAGATTCTTTTTGGCCTTTATATACATAGTACTTAGCAGATGGTTTTGCCTAATGTGTATGGAGAATGAAATAGTACTCATTTATCTTAGGCCCTTCAAAAATAGTGAAAAGTATTACATTAAATAAGACCAATGCTATGTTTTAATTTCAAGTACTAGGGACAGGCCTTAGATTTCTTTCACAGTACACAGAGTGGTAGAAATGATTGTAATACGGACTGTGACTACCATCACTGTATCAATTCTTCAATGAAATCTTTAACAGTAATTTCACATATGGCACTGTAAAACCTAGAAGCCCACATAAAAGAAGTGAGAAATGTTAACTCTCTACATGTAGCTAAGCCTCTCATGAAAAAACTAGTTCCATACTGCGTGTGACAACCCAGTCCTGAGGGGAACAGATGCTCTGCATTTTTCAGGCCCTATAAGTTATGCCATGCCATAATAATGTACCTGAAAATGCATGGAGCAAACACTGTCTTGATGCACTCAGGTTCTACAGTAGATCAGGCTCCATCATCTCCGGGTGAGTCAATAAATGGAAGATAACCTTGAATCCTGAAAGCAAGGCCAAGTTTTCACTGTGCTTTTGAGCCCACAACAAAAGTACGAATAAAAAAAATAAAAAAAAATTAAAAAAAAATAATAATAATAAAAAAAATCTTGCAAAAGGATATTAAAGCTACTCTAAAAGATAGCAATGGAAAAAGAGGATTACAGCACTTCCTTCAAACTTCAGAATCAAATATTTTTTTCCTGGTTTCTTGATTTTTTAAATTCTTCTTCCAAGAAGATTAAAGAGAAATCCAAAAGGTGCATTCCAGTTGCAGTACCTACCCTTCTTGAGTACCTCCAGATCTTGACCATTGATCATCCTCAAAATCTTCCAACTTCATTTGTGTGCACATATGCCCATTCACCCAAATACAAGAAATTGACTACTCAAATGTTCATAGGCTAGACCTTTTCTAAAAACTCCCATGAACTATAGAACTTAAAGAAAGAATGCTATAAGATTAAAATTATGTGTCACAACAGTGTGTTGTAGTAAAGGTAATTACAATGTTACAGCTGAGTTTCATTTTCAGAGTCTTATGATCACCAAAAATTATTATAACTCTTGATTATACCCTCTGCTGAATCACCTGACAAGTGTAATAAATTATAAAAGTGCATATTTTTTATGCCTTCTCTAAAGAAAGAAACACCAAGAGGAAAAAAAATCAAAACCCCAGAGAGTTGCTTTTAAATGAATTGACCACCCTCTCACTAATTAACTCTCCTTAAGCCCCTCTTTTATTTCTAGCCCATATGTCAGTGCTAGTCTTTTAATTATCAAATGGTATGTAAGCCTTTTGTGCAGTATTTTTAAGCTTCCAGAGAGCTCTGCCAAGCTGCATCATGCACCTTTTCCTTAAGCAAAGATAAAGAGGCCTTATAAGAGACCTGTTAGTCCTGCTAATTAGTTGATGCTTTGACACTCTCTCCCTAAATGCCTAACCGTTTGTAAAAGATATCAGATCTTCCTTCTGTATTCTAATGTACTTTCCATCTGCATGGCCACTGGCCTAAACTAAAGTAAAACATCTATATAATCCTTTGAACATTTTCAAAGTACTGAGGGAGCAAGATGAAATGTGAGTAAATTTACAAGCAGACTGCTGTACTCCAAGCATATGACTACCGTAATGACAAAAATATCCTGGACAGGTTGGTGATATTTGAATGCTGAAAAAATGAGGGTAAGAATCTGTACAAGCCACCGAAGAAGCAATTTGTTTTACCCTCCTACCTTTTATTTAGGCTGAGAAAAATCTATTAAGATATTTTTTCAGAGTGAAAGTGATGTGCCAAACATAATCATGACCCTAGCCTAGCTGCTGTGAAATGCACATCCATGCTTGTAAATAAAAGCTTCAACCTATATTCAGTCCAATTACTCAGGTATCTGGGTCATCATTTCATCAGAGTCAGTATGGCAGTGTTTCTGCCCAGGACAGTTTGAATTGTTCAAATCAGATTGTCTGTAACAATGCACAAAACAGCTAAAAGTTCATCAAAAGATGGATGTTAACTTATATTGTTCCACTGAAGTCAGAATCATCAGGAGCTATGCTAGTCAAAGTTCTTGTCTTACCTTTTATTTTGAAAAAAGAAAAAAAATAATGTGAAGCCAATGTCAAAAACAACAAGAAGACTAGGTAGGAAGGACATGGTTTGCCACAAAAATACTTCTGTTTCTTCCTTTCTCTACCTATTTTTATACCCAAAATAATTTTCATAAATATATATATATAACTGGCTATGTAGCTTATTCAGAAGAAGGATGTCTTGGGAAAGTATTTTTTAGAATATAGAGCAGAATCCAGAAAGTTTCATATGCAGGCAGAAGGGAAAAAAAGACAGAAGTATTTAATAAAACAACTATTTTATACTGTCTTTTTACCAAATCCATCTTGCAATACACATGCTAAACACAAGGACTGCACTTTTACTTGCATACACAGAATTCCATGGTAAAGGGATTAATCTAAATTAGCATATTCATTTTTTTGAGCTTTAAACATGTCATTAAAGTTGTCTGTAGCTTCCAAAGCTCCACAGATACAAGTGTACTGGGAAGAATGATCAGGTTAATGTGCAGCTCCTGGGAAAAGTTTCAGAGGAACAGCAGGAGAGTTACTATGGTCAATAATGTTCCCTAAACTTCCCGGCAAAAGCATAGCATTCGGTGGCTGCTGCTTTTAAATTCTGCTATGGTAAATTTATTTTTGGCTCCTAGGATCAGAAGTGATACAAGGACGGTCAGATAATATATCTTCAATGAAGAGTCGGCCTTCAGGAAAGCTCAAGAAATTTTTCCTTCCATTATAATGGATCATTTTACCAGATTTGTACATCTCAGTATATTCAACAGTATGGTGACATTTGATTTTTGTTGCTTGAAAGCACATCATACACCTTCTTCTGCAAAGATATTCAGAAGTCTACACTTTTTAGAAATTTCTTTTTTATCCAAGATTTCATCAGTGGAAAGCTCTGATTTAAGATGAAATATGAATACTTGCAGGTATGTTCGTTCACAATACTGACATACAAGATAAGGACATACAAGGACATAAAAACCCTCTAATCAGTTTTTGAAGGTTGTCCTTGTATCAAAAGGACCAAAGCACAGACTTTGAAAACTACAGCTCTGCAGTTGAAAACCAGTGTTTTCAACAGACTTGAAAGATCCTGAAAGAATAGAAGATAGCAATTACAGGACTGTTAGGGATTTTTTTCCCAAGGATACATTATTCAGATAATCTTCTAGGTGACAGTACCAAACTCACTAACCAAAATGAGCACTTGTGCTCAAACACAGATTAATACAAATTGTTGTCAGGCATGAGATCTTAATGAATGTAACTAGGAGATTTAAAATAGCAGTTTAGAATTATGAGAGATAAAATATTCAATAGTAAATAACATGAGCACGACCCTTTGTTATACTTTTGATCCCAAGAGGCTTAAAGCAAAATCTTCCATTAGTCAAGGGTTAAAATATAAAGGAAACAAGACCAAAAATACAGTCTTCTTGATCAGTCATCCACTGTTTTCATACAAAACTGTGCCATCTCTTCTGGCTCTATGTCTTATGCTATTTTGATTTGATTCCAGTTACTCAATAGTTCCCCTGATTGTTTTCTTTTTACTTCTTTTATTGCCTATACTCCCCACATATATACACACATATAGTTTAGTCATTTGTCTGTCCTCAGTGAAATGCTAATCTCATCAATAAGAACAAACTGTCTTTCATGCACCATCTCCTCAACACAGCTAAAAATTTGATACATTGTCATACCAAAACTGTGCAATTATTTCTTTTCCAGAATAAAAAAGAAAAATTCTACCTTTGTCATTCTGTCTCAAAACAACTTTTTTCGTTCTACTAAACCATTTTTAGGACAAGGAAGACTAGACTGGCATGTGATATGCTAATTTGGACAAAACATAGAGGTGTAAAATGACATGCTGATATTATTCATTTTTCTGCACAAATACAGAATAATGAGCCTTGAATTATTCTGAAGTTCACCCTAATCCTGAGTTATTTCTCCATTTTGAGGTATTCAAGGTACATGCATTCAAATGTGAATATGATGGTGTTATTTGTGGTGTTATAAAGACAATAAAAATAAATAATTGGAGAACATTTCTGACGTCTTGTCTACTGCACCCACTTGCAAATAGCATGTGCTTCTTTCATTAAATCCACTTCCCTGATCACATAAAGTCTGCTTTTGACATAGATAACTTTTTAAGTGATTTTGCACCTCTCTGTTCTTCCTTCCATTGGTATGACTTTTATCTTCCCTTTTGTTACTGCTTTAGCCCTTATGTTTTGTTCATATTTATTTCTTCCTCCACTCCTAGACTTACATTATTTTCCTAATCCCTCATACCTTCTAATGATTTACAATGTATTTGATTCTCTTCCCTAGTCCAGAGACTAAGAAAACTTTCATTTTGTTGCTGGCCTTTCTCCACTGGTCAGGGTATTACACTACTGCTTCCCTGTACCCATCAACTTCCAAGCACTTAACTTAATATTCTGCTAGGTCTCACAGTCCCTGCATTCCGTTAAATAAAGCATGTTCTTTCACCAGCTCTGTAAATCTCCATCCCTAGTGTCCCCATCATAACTTACCAGAGGTAGGCAGTCAAGCTTAATATTTCAGTCACATCTGTGTCCAGGGACATTTATTGCCCCTTGTCATTTCAACTCCCGAGTGTTTTCTCAGGAGTTATCGTATCCTAGCACCTTATTGCATCGTAGCACCAAAAAAGAGGGCTAACTGGGAAGCTGTGTGCCAAAGATGACCATAGACAAATAGTCAATGAGTCTTTCTCACCATGTGACGTGATCCCCAGAGAGTGAGTAGCAAGCAGAGTTCAAAAAGTAAAAATTCTCAATTAAAAAAAAAAAAATAAAAAAAAATAGCCTGTTCCTTCTCAATGAAAAATTCTGTTTGCTGAAGGATTCATTCTTATCTAGGTCTTATGTCTCAGTTAAACTAAATATTTGCAAAATGCAAGATTCTGCAATCCTGCTGTATTATATTTTCTCATAGCATTGTACTAAAATAAAAATTAAGAAGTTGTTGCAAGATTATTTCTGGTCTACATAATTGAGAATTCTCACAAAAATATTATGCAACACACAAAATCACAGTAAGTCCTTGAGTAGGCTATTATATAGTTTTAGGAACATATGGTCAAGTTCACATGGATTAGCCACCCTACTGACCTTGAAAGTACAGAAAAAAAGGATTTAAACAGAGGAAAAACTAAGTGTGTATATGCCAGTAGCTTAATATCCTTAAAATTAACTATAATATGATTTTGGCTATTTTCTATCAATGATTAGAGAATTGATTTCTGTCTCCCATAAGAGACTGTCTGACTTTTTGGCTTAGCATTTCTGCAGAGTGCTTTTTTGACCAAAGATTACAATTTAGTCTTCCCAGAAGGTCAGATACCTGAACAAACTGCTCTTTGATCAGACAGATACTACCTGAGAGCTTCAGATCCTTTCTGTTCTGAATCTGATGTACCCTTCGGCACAGGCCCCAGCGTCTGCAGTCCTCCTCTAGTGGGCAAAGTCAGGATGCAACTCCCTTTCCTACCTCTGGTTCTTTGTATTTGAAAGGGCAGGGGAGGGCAGGGCAGGGGAGGGCAGGGCAGGGCAGGGCG